ATAAATTTTAAATTTATAATTTTTTAATAATATCGTATAAATCTTATCAATTTATATTTATCTAGTAGAAAAATTATTTCAAATGCTCGAATTCGACGTTTTGATTTTTTTTTTTTAAGTTGAAAACATACTAAGATATATCATATTATATATGACCTTATATCTTAGTATTAATATTATAACATAAATCTTGCTAACGTATTTTGATATTAAAAAAAATTGTTTCAAAAAGATTCTCGAATTTTATGTTGCGATTTTTGGAAGTTTTAAAAAATTTAATGATGAATTGTTTCGTATTTTGATCTGTTATAGTTATACAAATATTGTAAAAGGCACGCGAGCAAGGCCAACGGAGCTATGTGCATTAGCTTACAAGGAGAGCACGAGTAGCCTAAGCCTAATGTAGAGTTTTAGCCAACTCTTTTTTTCCTTCTTTTTTTCTCGTTCTTTTTTCTAATTTGTCTTGTTCGTATTTTAATATTTCGATCTCTAATTTGTCTTATTCGTATCTCGATATTTTGAAATCAAACGTCGGAAATCAATTCGTATCTTGATAACTTTATATTAACATTTAACGTTCAGAAAATGAAAAAAGAAAAATGTTTTGTGTTTGTGTTTGTGTTTTATTTACACGCATTATTCATAGGTTACGTAGATAATTGGAGGAATTGTAGTTTTGTGTTTGGATTTAAAAGTCATGTTGTCGATGTAACCTTCGTTGAAGTTGAAACAATGAATGATTGTTGTGGTGTGTGGGCGTGAAGTAAAATGAAAAGGAAAACATTTTTTTATCGGTTACAAAAATATTTTGAATTATTATCGTATTTGTTCTTCCATTAAATCGAGAAACGACTAAGGTATCATGAAAGAGTCGTGTCCGACGAAGCCCTCACGAGGAATTTTTTGTGTAATCTTGATATTTTTTTTTATTTTTTTATTTGTTTTACTATATTTTTAATTACTCGTATCTTGTAAGTAAATTTAATTAGTAGATCGAACGTTAAATCAATGGCAATAGCACGTGTACTTACACGATAATTATATTTTTTAATAAATTTTTTTATTAATTTCACACGTGTAAATTAAATCAATAATTAACATATTATACCCTCTAATTAATTTCGTTTTGTTTATAGTTTAGAACATCTTATCTTGTTTAATTAATACACGAATATAAGTGAAATCATAATTACGCTCGGTTTGTAATAACAATCGATACTTTTATTCACATAAATCTTAAATCATACACGAATTAATCAAGTCTGGACGTTCTCTAAACATTTAAACTCTTTAGTTCAGAACTCCCATGGTCACTGGTATACTGCACATTACAATAAGAACCCTAACAAAGTCAGTTGAAGTTGGTTTCTTTAAATACATATATATACATATATATATATATTGAAACCCGAATTAAAGAACAACCCACAAACAAACTCATAAAGATTACCTGCTGCAATTAATGTCCGGGACGATGGGAAAAGGAAGAGTAATACCGCAATCATGAGGAAGTTCTTCAGCTCTCTCAGGCTTGACTCCGATGGAAGGTGCAGCCTTTACAAAGCAGGTGCATAAGTCCCTACGATCTTTCGTACTTCCAGCCATCTTATACACGGTTTGCACCGCCGCACAACACGGTGCACTGGGTTTGTCTGGACCTTCGCCCACCAAGAACGACCGGCATGGCATCAAGGCGGCTAAAGCTTCTCCACAATCCACAGCAGCATCCACACTAACCATGTTCGCCATTAAAATCAATAACCCAAAACCCAGTGAGCAAAACCCTCTCATTTTCTTCTCCATCTTCTTTCTCCTCCGATCAACTCTTACAACCTTTGCCCTCTGCTTATATAAAGTGATTTTCTTCTGTAACGCATCCTTAATTTCATGGAAAGCAGAGTTGATGCACATCGTTTTTTCTGCATCCATGTTTTAAATGTTAATTAAATTATGAGTTTAAGATTAAATTATGAGTTTAATGATTTGGTTGGGTTAGACGTTAAAAATTTAGTGATTAGATTTAATAACAAGTTTGAATGGTCAAATTTTACATCTTTTATCAGTTATAATATGATTAACCA